TTCATTATCTGGATCAATAATTCTGTATATACAATTGATGAATTATTACATCTAGTTGAAAATTGCTATGCATATATGGATGTATATATATATGTGCGTCTATTGTGATTTTATATTCATCACGTCAATTATATAGATAAACTTTTTTCTATTTGTGTATTGACGAACCTCATATACATCTTTGTTATGGAGTATTTGGAGTCCACTAGATACTCGTTAGGACAATAAAAGGATTGCTCCGAATTCTTGGGGTTCTTGTTGAATACTCTTCGTGAGCAAAAAAATAGCAGAATCAATAGTCCTGCCCGCTCTGGATGGAATGATTCCGTAAAGTCTACTCGTCTTGTGTTTGTAGATCTTTTGCTGAAAAAATCTTCACTTGTTTACTTTGTAGTAAATGTTCAAGAGGTAACAAAAACGTATGTGATTTTCTGGAACTTTAAATAGCGTTTCCTTATATGACTGTCCGTGCAAAGCTTATGTCTGAAAATGGAACTTTTAACGGCTGATGATCAACTGTATTGTCAAATATGACCATTATAAGAAAACAAGTATAGCTGAGGCACCAGTCAATCTAATAATAACAGTGATGGTCTTCAAACATGACTCAACCTCTGACGGAAGCACCAAACTCTTACGAAGGTTCGAACTAGATGAACACTTCATTCTAGCAGACCACTATTATAATCTTCATGCAGTTCACTGTGGTTCTGCCGTTGAATCTGGTCATTATTACGCCTTGGTCAAAGACGAAACGGACTGGTTTAAGTTTGACGATAGTCGTGTCACTTAGTGTTCTGACGATGTATTGAATTTATTGGAACCTCTGGAGACACCCTACATTTTGTTTTATGAAATAGTGTACATTGGGAGACCAGGATTTTCAGATGATGTGGTGCTACAGGTTTTTCCGGACTTTCCTGCAGCTGAAAAAGTAAATGCGCTACTGGAATCAATGAAATCGCCTCGGAGTGCCAATTAATTTTTGTTGTTTCATAGTTTCTTGAAAAAGATAATTAATGAATTGAATTTTGAAATGAATTGAATATTGATGAAACTTGAGGCATCATTGAGTAATTGTTCGATTACGAGTAAAATGTTTTCCTCTTTCATTTGATAATTCTTTGGTGTCATGACACGTCTCACCTTCTTCTGTAATATGAACAGATATTTGTATGGATATTACTGGAGTTTTTTCCCCAAAACCTTCCTCTTGAAGATGATCACGTGTCGAGGTGTTGAAATAACGGTTTGGTGTTGGGAAGGAAACTCTAGTAATATTAATTACCACAACAAAGAATCCGAACAGTGCATCACAAATAGATATTTCTATGGTATTTTAAACTCGTCTTGTGGTTTTTTTAGGACTCGAGTGGGAATGAATTCATTGACGAAAATCAAAATACGTTTGAAGACTGTATCGATGAGAGATACATACACATATATGTAAGAAATAGATATTTTGATATAAAATCTCAAAATATGAATTTTTCCTTTTATAATTTGACAAAGAACTTTATGTTACTGAAGACTAATGAATTAACTGAATCGAATAAATAATATGTATTTTATAGTTTACTTCTTGAATTATATTATACGAAGCAAAAAGGAGACGTAAAAAAAATGACTTCTTGAAATTATGAAGCTTATGCAACTGCCTTCTTTTCCGTACATAAAAATCTGAGTCAAACCAATACTTCTTATTGGCCTTGATAGGTTTACCTCTTCTAATTCGGTTTCATATGTTTTTCAGTAATTCTGACATACACCTTCCGTAATACTATATAAACAAATACCATTTTGGGGAAAACAGCACGGGATTGCAAATTGTCCATACTCTTCTGAAAATTCTTTCCAACGGCTTCGTTAAGCCAGATTCTGTCCAGATTATAAATCTTTTTATTGTCACGTCGACACTCTCTTATCTGCCTTAGATAATGTCTCCTCCGGCAAATAATTACGATTAGGAGCGATTTTCTGTTTTGTTTTTTTAGCTGAAATGTAATTCCATTAGTTTTCCACAATTTCTTCTTACCTACCATTGGTGATATATATTAGTCTTCTTTAAAGGCTTCCATTATATTGTTAAAGGTCGGCATTTCTTTCTTAAAATAATATGAATGTACTTAGTGTTCTGTGGTTTTCATCAACAGGCACAGTTTCTCTTTCTAAAGATGGTTTTGGTGATTTCAGGGATTCATTTTTTGTCTCAGTCTTGAATTTATATATCGATGATTTTGAATCTCCCGTTTTTTGTCTTTACTGGAGACAAGACTAAGAAGCCATTTCAATTCACACACTAAGTATAATTTACTAATAATAACACTGATAGAGTCACAAGCGCTTTATCTATAATTCATATTCTTAAGGTAATAAAATACGTAACTAAAGCACTATCAGATCGGATTGAATCACGCCCTCATTCTCTTTTTCGGTGAAAATATCTCCAAGTGCTTAAAGAATAATGTATTATCAATAACATTCCATTTATATTGGCATCAGTTATATTCATCAACCTGTTCAGTATTAACAAAATAGACAAAGAATTATATAAGAGCTAATGAGCATATATTAGAGAAAGAAAAACAAATTCAGTTGTCTTCCATGGCACCTAAACTCACAACAAAATTTATTTTTAGGCTGAACTAACATTATACTCAATATTTCACTTTTGTGAATGGCCGAACAGAAAATCGAATAACAGTGAGTCTTGGGATGAAAACACATTTTTTTCTCCGGTCGTTCATTCTAAAAATCTGGAAAGCAGTAAAGATGAAAGTGAATGTGTATATCTTACAGTTTGGGGAAGTAGTATAAAATTTATGACACGAATTCCTATATTTAAGGGTTTCACCTCGACGATGCTTTTGAATCTCATAATTCAGAATGTAAGTGAGGACGTGTGGAAGTTTGGATATTAAATTGGGTATATCGTAAACTTATAAATTGTGGTATGAAGCTGCTTCAGAAGGCATAAAACGGCATCTTGAATACCCTATCGAGAAATGATGGCATTATTACGATCCCCAGTTTTATGAAAGCATTCTTCAATTATTTTTAGAGCATATATTTAAAATTCTTTGTGAGATGTTTCGTCGAAGTATAATATTGGAAATAACCTTATAGAATGGATATATAAATTTTTGGATTTGAGGAAAGAATTTATCTTCCAAGAAGAGAAGGAAACCGAACGTTATTTCGCTTATATAAAGTAGGAAATAACCAAGTTATCTTGAACAAATTAGTGATTAATAAAAAAGAGTTTCCATAAGTTATTTGTGTATATCTTCATTTTCACAACTATCTCGAAATTAACAACATTGCTTAATGAAGATCTTGAAAAAAAAAATGATACCATATTTTTTGAAAATGTTACCGCTTTCAATGTATATGAAGTATGGACTGTATATAGTGAGCCCAATGTCTGGTATCTCCATCGCCACAAAAGAAATAACCAGGAAAGGAATTTCTGGCGAAAACAATCTGCATTGACAACAGACAAGCCCTATTAGCCTTGAACAGACAACGTGTTACCTCAGGGCTAGTACTAGAGTGCCACCAAGATTTAGCCAAAGCCTCGGTAGATAACAATATTATCCTTAGGTGGGTTGAAAGGCATGACAGGAGTAGAGGTAATCGCATTTCCGATCCTTCAGCCAAGGAAGCGGCTGGACTAAAAATTTCAGGACCCAGTGACAGTTACGGCCTGATGACTTCGACAATTGCGGAACTAGCCAAACGTCATATCCATGCTCAATCCCTAAAGAGATGGGATGAAATCAAAGGATGCAATCTTGCCAGGATCACCCTGGGAGACCCTGGAAATCTGGCGCCTAAGAAATATCTGGCGATGACCAAGAAAAATCTAGGCCTAACAGTAGGATTTCTGACTAGCCACTGTCAACTAAGGAAACACCTCCATAATATGGGGCCAGTGGACACACCTCTATGCAGGATGTGTGAACAGGAAGATGAGACTGTCAGGCATGTCCTGTGCGAATACCCGGAGTTATCGTCAATAAGAGAGTGTGTGTTCGACGAGTCTTGGCCTACACCTGCTGATATAAAGGAGATTTCTACCAGTGACCTATCCACCTGGAACGGACAGGATAGACGATGACCTAGGACGATGACCTAGGTAACTCGTCAAGGCTTTACTCACCAGTTTGAGTAGAGCCTTGATGATGACAGCACGATCATCTGTCGAAAGCGCTCGCATATAACTGAAAAGGAGTTATAAAGCTTCCAAACCTTTTTGTAACTTATATTAATATTNAGGCTTTCTTGCAGGTCACTGTCATTTGAATCATCATATGCAGAGACTCGGACTGTCGGAAGACAGTGTGATTCGCCTCTGTTTGGAAAATGATGGAGCAGCACAGCACATACTTTGTGTCTGCTCCGCTGGGGATCATACCATTGATCTATCGAAACCTGATTCGAATCATAATAACGGGTGGGAAGAGAAATTAATGGTCCAATCAGGAAACAACTAGGCCAAAATGGACTTGTTTATGTCTACGTTTTCTTTCAAAATCATTTGTAATTATAATTCAGTTTATGTCCATTCTATTTAAAAAATTCATGTCACTATCATGTCCTCTCAAAAACAATGTTGACAAAAATACATTCCGGTCTGATGAAGCTGGCAATATCTTCTTCTGTGGGACTCTTACGGAAGATTATATTCATCATTTGTTCTATAGAGTTGGGTGAAATTTCCTCCAAAAACTTTCTCATAAACCATAGCAGGGGAAGTTTCGAGTGGTTTTCATTTAATATACAATTTTCGCTATTCACAATATAAATCTAGATTCATTAAAAGTAAAAACCACTTTTCAGTAAATTTGTAACTAATTTCGGAACGAGAACTGATTAAAAACTTTCTCGTTATTTTTCATTTCGGGCTTTATTAACTCATAACCAAAAATTACACCATTCACAAACTTTTTTCAATTCGCTCATCCATCGCGATTATTGATTGTTTTCTTCTTTTTCAGGTGACATAACGCAAAAGGGATATGAGAAGAAGAGGACAAGACTCCTTTCTCCGTATGTGCCTAAGCAGAATTCCAGTAAGTTTTCTCTTGAGATATACATTATATATGGTACGATCTGAAAAAACTACTCTCTCCAGTGCTGTGTTTCTCCGGAATATTTATTTGTTCTCGCTTTGTCCCTTATTTATATGCGATGCGATTTATATCTTCCGGAAACGTTTTGAATGTTTAACGTTGTTGTATTCAATGAAGGGGGCGTTTCTAGTCGAAACCAGAGCCCAAAGCATTCGTAGCTCAACAAAGGATACCACTGTTTCGACCCATCGTAGGTCTCATCAGTGGTATTGGGTTAAACACGAATGCATTGGTGGACTCAAGTATCCTTGAGGACAAGCCTGAATAAGTAGAGACGATGATATTTTCTCTCACGCCTCCACTTACTAGGCTTTTGGATAGACATTGGATTCGTTGATTATGCCAGATATACCGTGTGTCAACCACTCATTATATATTTCCTTTTCCCATTATTTTTTTTTCTTTTTTTTTTCTTGAACAACTGTCCAACGATTCAATTCATCATAGTGGTTCTATAAATTACCGAAACACCTCAATAATTATTTCACACATATAGTTAGTTATTTTGTTTTCAAATCCAACCATAATTACAAAGGTAAGGATAAGTAAATTAGAGATTAAACGCAGAAGTAATATAACCTCTGTTCAAAATATAATGAACATAGGCTTTCACATCCCGAGTCACGATTAGAGAAAACAAAATCTAGACTAGCAGGCTGGTAAGTCGTGTCGAATGAAACTTGTAGTACCAAACACTTCGAGGTCACAGCAACGACTGAGTTTGAGATATAATCTTCGTCCTCGCAGTCAACACACATACCACTGATGATGTCTGCCGCAGTAGCAGATGAAACGTTTGGTACCATTAGTGCCATTCGACCAGGTCTCCTAGCCCGTATTTTATTTTCATTTTCTTCGAAATATCACCAACGCGCTAAACTGCGTTATTCTACCAATTTTCTAGACTTGCCTGGTGACCGTTAGATTTTTAAATATGACAACAGGATTATACAGAAGTGCCTTGCTAGTGTCAGAAAAATTCGACAAAATCTCACCCTGAGTGGTTTATCCTTTTTTTCTCTGTTGCTTTGGAGCTGCCTGACTCCTTCTTTTTTTACAAGTCTTCAGAAAACACTACCAGTTCATACTCCACATTTTCATGACACTCACGTCAATAACCTTGATGTTACATGTTTGTAACATGTACATAATTTGGGTGTAGTGGTGATGATATCTTCCCTTACGAAGTTGTCATTTATGGAAACAAAAAAAGGCTTGATCCTTGAATATAACATATAAAGGAGGTTCCCTTAAGCAAAGCCCAGCTTCGATATCGACCGTCCAAGGACATTCGTCCTCTGTCTTCCACAGCATGTCACTGCAAGGCAACTAGTTGAAACCAGAACCCAAAAACAGGATATTCGTGATTCAACACTGGACAGCACTATTTCGATCCTCCATAAGTCTCATCGGTGGTGCTAGGCCGATCCACAATACTGGGCATAACTGTCCTTAAATTACGAGTCTGAGAAAGTAAAGGCAATGATAAATCTTCGAGAGCCTTGTGTTTATCTTTGATATTCTATCGTAAAGATGGCGTTATCTCAATTAGAAATGTCATAGCTAATAAAAATCACCTCCATTGATGCAGCGCCGCTCATTCGCATCAAACACGAAAAGTTGTATATGTCCCTTTGTTGTATTGCCTGGAGCTTAGATCTCCTATTTTGTTCTGGTGTCCTCTCAATGAACAATGTCCAGTGTTAGGCCCTGTAACACTATCTCAGCAGATGTTTGCTCTTCAGGTTTTTTTTAGACGGTCCCTTCATACACATTACGATGTGTTTGTTCCCAGATGTATTTTCCCAGTGCTCTTATATTTGCATTTCGTGGTCTCTGATCTCATACCTCCACCAGGTGATCCAGAACCCATATACAAGGTGTAACATAAGTATATTAGATTTCACGGTATATGGTATTGGCTTAACGATTATAATAAAACCAATTAGACCCTTAAGTTGTGAAACCCGAATCAAATAAAGGGAAGAAAGTCACAATATTACACTACACTACACAATGGAATTAAACCAGGAAGTTTATTGCAGTTTATTGCAGATAAGCCAATACTATTTAGAGTGAAATATACTATACGTTAAAATATTCAAGTAACGTATTCTTGAGACATTTTTTTACATCTATGTAAACTTGTGTCCGGAAATGCTTCGTTTCGGAGATACTGGGTGTTGAAATTGAATTTGTTTGTTCGTTTTTCAAAAATAACTTTTGCAAAAAAAAGTTATTTGCACGAAATTTGCTACTCGGGTTTTTTTGACGTGAGAAATCTCGTTCGTAGGGGTGCGACAGCTGGTTAACGGAAAAACAGATTTTTAACAGATTTTTTTTTAAACAGATTCACTAAGAACCCAAGTCTAGTTAATTCCGACTTGTCTGAAAATAAAATTATGTGTATTATTGAGTAACATAGATCTTCATTATCATCATATAGTTGTTGATGAATTTAGTATTCAAAATGTTCAAATTTTCAGGAATTTTTCAAAATTGTTCGCATACTTTCATGACACATCTCACTCAGAGGCGATCTGCCTCAAATAAACTATTGTATTTTTGTAATTATGTTTATACTGGCCTCAGAAACAAAATAATCCCATTGCTGCATTTTTATTGACAGAGTTAGGTAAAGTAAACGATCTAGATATATCATGAGTCTTGACACACGGTATTGAATGACGTATTGTGTGAATTTTTTGTCACAATTTTTCTGATTTTCGATTTTGTTGCTAGTTGAAATATGATCATATTTTTACCGTTGTGAAGTCACGTATATTATTATTAACATATTTCTTATAACTTCTGGAGATTTGTATTCTCTACTTTTCTTGACATACTAGGCAACTATACATACAAAGGAATGCACACAAACTAGCTTGATTATTATGAAAGACTTCTGTGTCTAGAAACGAAGATATCCTGAGTTCATTCATACATTAATATCCTGAATATCGTAATACTCTTTCATAATAATCAAGATCTTCTGTTTTTCCCTACTTCTTGATCTTCCCTTATATTTATGTGCCTAACAAATTGATCGTTCTACCAGTTCCATGGCATGAAAAGGTTTGAGTGGACTGAGAGTATTCAACATTCCCACATTTTTTATAAAACAGCAGAGTTTTCAGGCTTATTTTCCTTCCATTCATTGTAACTTATTGCTGCAATTTGGTTTCTGTTGACTGAGATAACGAACCCATTTGAAAAAGTATTGAGAGATGCAGATAATGTCTAGGATTTATGATGATTTCGGTATTATTAGCTAATCAACGAGACTTTCTCACAGTTTATTCCAGTTGAGAAATGTATATGTGAAGCAACTTTTTAAATCACGATTTTTATTGCCCCGATTCTGTGAAGAGTTTATCTCAACTGTTTTATCAACTTCAAGTTAATTATACAGTGTCTTTCACGATAGTCGTTCCTGTATTTATGTAATGATTGCTAAAGGTGTGAACGCATCCACTTTGTAGATATCGGCTAATAATTGAAGTATTTTGCTCTTGTACATTTTAAATTTACAATGATTTTCAAATTACGATGCCTTTCTCTTATATATGTAATATACTAGATGTTCAAATCATGTATTTGATAGTAGGCCAAATTGCCAACTACTTGTCATAAACTTTACTTTTTACACAAATACACCAAACATCCTATGATTTGTGATCAATTAAAATGTGAGTTACCTTAACTTTTTGTCGCATTTTATCCCCAAACAGTCTAGTATTGCGACATAACTATTCAATAAGTTGCTTAATTTTTTCATTCAAATAACTATTTTATGAACTGTAGTTTTTTTATGCTATTATCATGGATAGTGTTAAGAATTTTCATCACAAGTCAGTACATTCATTCATTATTTTGAAATGTTGAGATTTTTTGGGCACTTCCAATTTAAAAAAAACTTTCATACGAGAGAAAAGTCAATTATATTTCATAATTTGACAATTCAATTAGTAAACTCTTTTGGTCTAGTAGAGTATTTTCACTAATTGATAATAATCGGATGGTCATTCATTATACAAAGATTTATATAACAGTCATACATGATAATTATTTCATTTTGCATTTCCATATGTATTCCATTAGACTAATGTCTGGGGTTTAGGTCCCAAACAAATCCATTGGATTTATGCGATGATTGTCAGACCAATGACCACTTATGGTGCAATTGCCTGGTGGCCGAAGGCTTTACAGCAAACGGCCCAGGCGAAGCTCTCTGGCTTACAGATACAGGCTTGTCTGGCTATCAGTGGTGCCATCAGTACTACACCGTCAGTAGCCATTGAGATCCTTCTAGATCTACCTCCTCTCCATATTTTTCTGGAGGGAGGGGCTAGATGGACTGCATACAGATTTGTGCACATTGCCAATTGCACAAATCAATTTAATGCAGAGTGCAACAGACTGTTGGTTGACATTGGAAGTCACAGCATTCTGGAAATAACTCTGACTATGCCTCAAACTGTCAACTACGAATTTCCTTATGTTTCCGAGTAGGGAGGACTGGATCCTCTGGGAGAAGGAAATATTAACAGCAGATAGTTGTTGGTTGACAGATGGATCAACACCTTCTGGTTCTGGTGCTGGTGTTTTTAGTCGCAGACCCAGGACAGAGATATCTACCTGCCTAGGAACCTATGCGACTGTATTTCAAGCGGAAATTCACGATATTGAATTGTGTGCAGAGAGATTGGATTAATCCAACCTCATACAGAAGTCAATGAAAATGTTCTCAGGCAGTCATGCGGCGTTGGAAGTTCTTGGCTCCTACTGAGCAACGTCTAAATTTGCCAAAAATGACTTTCCTCGATAGGAAGACTTAACAGATTGTCTCTGATCTGGATTCGGCCATACTGGCCTGGAAGACAATGAGGCTGCTGACTCCCTTGCAAAGGAGGGTACTGCAAGCATCTTCATCGGACCAGAACCTGTTTGCCAAACAAACACCTGGATGACAAAAAAAATGGACTTGGCTCACTCCAAGTCGTTTATTCACCCTTCGAAGCTTGATACCAAACAGTTGTTGGATGTAGGGATGAACTACGATGTCTTAATAGGCTTTCTTGCAGGTCACTGTCATTTGAATCATCATATGCAGAGACTCGGACTGTCGGAAGACAGTGTGATTCGCCTCTGTTTGGAAAATGATGGAGCAGCACAGCACATACTTTGTGTCTGCTCCGCTGGGGATCGAATCAGGTTCTTAGACTTCGGCAGAGCCGAAGCCCTTTTACCCTAACATTAATGGTCTCAGTGCATATTGGCGCCCAACGTAGGGCTGTTTTTCGTATGCAGCACAACTGTACTGTGCTGGAAAAAGATGTTGGTCAGTTAGTTTCTCAATAATTTTCCATTTTATTCTTCACTTTTGAGAAGCATTATATTGTTCTACTTATATTCCTAACATTGCATTAGTCATGAAAGACCCTGTATGCTATCTTCACTGAAATATTGATAAGACATTATCTTGGCAAATGCGTTGTAATATCCCGATACTTCAGCAACTCACACCTTTTCTTAGCACGTTCCTTTAACTGGAACATTCACTTTCATTATCTCCTTTGTGGAAACATGATTCGAAGATATTTCAGTTCTCGGATCAATGGACGCGTGAATAATTCAGAATGGTGTTAATGACATATTCTGGTAGCGTTGTAATTTGCATCGAGTGTCCATTATCATAAGTAAATTTGAACTTGCATCCCATTAAATCGAGTAATTGAAACATTCCTAACATCGAGCGATGTCGACTAATCTTCACTCACGTGCATTAAAATTTACATTTCTCCTATTTCATGCATGCTTTACTAATGCGACTAGCTGGTGATAGGTGATGAGGAGAAAAGGAATGAAAGGAAAGGTGTTCGAAGAAATTTTGGAGATTTTCAGTTACCGCGTCGTCAGTGTTGGAGACCTAAACGTGTTTGAGACATGACGATTGTTTAAAAAAGTTATTTGCAGGCAATAATTAAGGAGTTGAGATAATATCAGAACAAAGAAGTTCGAATCTATAATGTGTTTCATTTATAATGTGTCTTTTGTGCCTCTGCCGAATATCTTGATGGATCTTCTTGAATAAATGTGTGAGTAAGTAAATCTAACAAGTAGAAATACGTATCTTTTGAATTTTCAAAATTTATAATGAGTGAACATAGCCCTGAAACTTTGAAAAATGTCATATAATATTGGGTCGTATATAAAAATCCAAAATAGAGTGTAACCCAAATAATACAACTTCCTATGGAAACCTTTCCATAACGTTTTCGGTTACAAAAAGAGGTTTTACACCTTGATGAAGATTTGGATTGGGGTGACAGAAAGAGTAGAATTCAATACTACAAAAACCAGGCATAAAGAAGGTCGTGAATAAACGTTAAGCACATCGTCCTACATTACAATAAAAATCTACAATTTCATCGAGAAGCCTGTTTATTTTCTAACAGGAAGGAATATCAGTTTTCACTACAAACGATTAGTCTGGTACAGTTTCCTCAAATATCTTTTGAGTAGATTTTCCGAGAAATCTTTCGATTTTATTGTTAATAAATAGTATTTAATTTTTTCCTCAGAGGCTTATGTTAACATTTTAAGAAATCTTTCACTCAGAAAACGTGGTCCGTGTAAAATAAACTTACTCAGTCGGTTTCTCAAATCAATATAATCAACAGTGATTTGAATCCAACGTAAATCGTTATTTTATCACAGACACCGCTCTGGGAGGAATTTATGGGTTTCATTACGGTGTTTGTACATCTCCATAAAAAGCCAGCTAAAGAGAATTGGGAAGATTATTTTCCTTGATAGTTCACATAGAATTATGTGCATATATCTCAACAAAACGGTTTTCTTCGTGGGAAGAAGTTATCTTTCTATATCTGGTAAAAGGAGTAAAAGTGATAGGAAAGAAATGTAAAATTTCCCTTCATCAAACACCAGAATTGAGTAAAATTGTTATTTACTAGTTTCGTCACTCGAAAGTTAAGCGAACAAAACCCTCAGCTTGGCTTTTTGTTTTTCATCCGGGCAAATTTTGCCTGCACGAATGCCCATTGTTTTGAAAAAAACCTATATTGGTACAAAACTTCGAAAATATTTTTACATAAACATGTTACTTTAAGAATTAATAGGGTAAGAAAAGTTTTGCCGTATTTTCAATGTCTCAAGTGCGCTTAGATCTACAAAACAATCGTAATTTGATAGAGAATCTATGAAAAGTATTATCAGTAACTGATTAATAATAATCATTGAGAAAACTAATTTCAGTAACAGATATGCTGACTTCAATCATAGAAACGAGAAAAATGTCATTAAGTACCCAGTGAGTACATCTGCGAAGTTCAAATGATTGTTCCTTTTATTATAATTCACACGAAGACGTTGAAGGGCTGCAGAATATTTCTTATAATTGACAATTCTAACTGTAAATCAACCATATTCGGTAGTATAAACAATATATTGCCGATTATAGGTAATCGACAGTTTAAACTGTCGAATATAACTAATTGGCAGGTTAAACTGCTTATTAAATATGTTACAGTTACAATTTGAACTATCGATACCGATCGAATTATTGACAATTCATACAGTAGGTTATAAGTAATCGACAGTTTAAGGGTTGTCGTTCGTAGGGGTGCGACAGCTGGTTAATTGAAAAACAGATTTTACACAGTTTAAACTAACGATAGGATTGAGTCATTGACAGTACAAACTGTCGATTGTACGTAGTCGTCAGTTTGAACTGTCGAATATAGCTAATTGGCAGTTTAAACTGTCTATTAGCTGTAATGGTTATCGTTTGGATTATCGATAATGAACCGATTATACTGTCAATTATAGGTAATCGTATATAATCATAAAATTTCAAATATGGCCAATAGAAATTTTAAATTGTGCTGTAATAAGCACTTCGAAATGTCGATTATAGGTGATCAACAGTTTCAGCTATCAAATATAGTTACTTGACAAGTTGAATTGTCGAATATAACCAACTGGTAGTTTAAACTGTCTATTACTTATAACAGTTGGAAGTCTTCGACTGCCTCACAATAGGCTCTCCAGGCGAGTATTGGCCTACACCTGCCGATATAAAGGAGATGTCTCCCAGCGACCTGTCCACCTTCCTGGAAAGGACAGGATGGACGATGACCTATGAGGACAACTCCTCGGGAGGATGTATAATGGGTCACATGTGTCCTAAGTGCGTGGGCTTACACTCACCCTCCCTACTCTTCAGATACAGAGATACTTATAACTATTGGTAATGACCGAAGTATTAACAGTTTATACTATCGATTAGAGGTATTCGACAGTTTAATCTGTCAAATATAGCTGATTGGCCGTTCAAACTGTATTACCTATTATAGTTACCGTTTGAATTATCGGTTTTGTCTATTATCTGTAATGGGCAGTTCGAAATTTCGATTATAGGTAATCGACAGTTTGATTTGTGGAATACAAACTTCTTGACAGATCAAATCTTCAAATAAACTATCGAAAGGTCCGCATTCTAAGACAGTTTAATTTGTCGTATATTGGCAGTTTAAATTGTCTGTTACCTATAATAGTCACCGTTTAAACTCTATAATGACTATAGGGCTAATCGAATATAACTAATTGGTTATATTGGTAGTTTAAATTGTCTTTCACCTGTAATAGTTACAGTTAAAACTATCGATAATGAGAAAATGTCGGATAATTCGGCTCCGACAGTTTATACCATCGATTAAAATTAATCGACAGTTTAATCCGTCGAATATAGCTTGATTGTCAGTTTAAATTGTCTATTACCTATAATAGTTACTGTTTAAACTATCGATAATGACCGGTTATACTGTCGATTATTGGTAACCATTTTAAACTGTCTATAACCTGTGATAGGCAGTTCGAAATGTCGAATAACTACTAATCGTTGGACCTCTAAATTATGAAATAAAAATGTTTCGTGACTCTTCAACGTCTTTGTACAATCCACCCAATGTTCCCCAACGTATTTGCTACCCATTTCCCCAGTTTTTCTTCGAACGACCCTGTCAATCCTTTCTCTTCGGTCACTTGGTGTCGGTTGTCATTGTGAAATGGTGTTTAGCCGGCAGCAGCTGCGGAAATGATGCGGGGAATGAATTCAGCGGCGGCGGAGGCGGCGGAAGCAGCACGGCCATCCAAGGGGGAGGCAAGCACCAGCACACGAGGCGACGCACTCAACGTCGCGTTACGCACAACGAGAAACGATATCATTCAGGTTCGGTGATGAACGATTGCATTAGGGTCAATCAGAACACGCTGGGCACTCCACAGAATTAGGGTCCTGAAGCCACAAGAACTGGCTTATTTGGATGCGGAGGTTCACAGGGTTCTAACAGAAGAGGCTGACATCTGGCAAATCAACACCGCCGTGTATAGCGGCGTCCAATCGCTTTCCAAATCAGAAGGACGAAATCCCGGCCTTGCGGCTCGGAAGATTGAACGGCGTGTACACAAGATGGAGGCTAAAATCACGTCGGCGAGACAACACGCGTCTCGTATCCAATGTGTGATGGATTACAAGGCGGTCAACAGACCCTTCACGCCCGCAGTGCGCCAATCTACGACGTATCCATCGCACTTTAAGTCAAGGCGTGCTGCTGACCACCAAACAGCACTGCCTTGATAGGATACGAATGCTAGTGGCTGCTAAGAAGTCACTAGTGAGACGAGCGAGAAGTATCGCGGAAAACCTTAGGTACCGCGAGAAACCTTCTCGCTTGTAATCTGGCCAGAGTTTTCAACTCATGGCTGGACGGAGAGAAGCCGATTCCGGATTGGTTTGTCGAGGGGCGGACCGTTCTTATCCCCAAAAGCGGAGATTTGTCTACAGAATTTCTAAGAACTACAGACCGATAATGTTACAAGTTGTTTACAAGCATCTTATATACAATACTCACCGCAGTTGACCGAGTGTTCGAACGGATATATGACCAGAGAGGGTCGAAGAGAGGAGTCGCTATAGCCTGGATCGATTACCGTAAGGCATTTGATACAATTTCTCATGAGCTCATCTTGCATTTGCACAGATGCCTTGCGGTCAAGCAAGAGTCCAAACAGGGTGGGTCACTTTCAGAAGCGTTGTATTTCAGGGTGATTCCCTCAGTCCCCTTCTCTTCTGCATCTCACTATTGCCATTATTCGTTGCGCTCAGAAATACTCGAAGGTATAACTGTGGCACCCCCGGAAACCGGAGGCACAAGGTCACCCATTTGTTTTTTATGGATGATCTTAAACTTTATGCCTCTAGAGAGAAGGATCTCCATCAGTCCTTGAGGGTGGTGGAAGAGTACACGCATGCTATCGGTATGAAATTCAGGATAGACAAATGTGCAATGATCCATCTCAAAAGAGGACGATGCGGGGACTACGGAAAGGATGTGCAGCTCGTAGATGGAAGCATCCTACACCATCTGGATGCCGGAGAGACGTATACTTACCTTTCTTACGGTATTGACGAGACACCGGTGTTGCCCTACGCTCCGGGGGATATTGAATCCGGATATTGAATACGCTCCGGGGGATATTGAATCCGTTGTGGGGAACGATAAGTGCCGAATTTTTTGTAACTATTCGTTTCCCACCCTCAGACTCATATACAAGCTAATAAGCCTGATGTAGTCCTCCTCGACCACCAGAGCAAAACGATATTTGTCGTGGAGTTTTCAGCTCCTGGCGAGACATGCATATCATCCGAAAAGAGGAGGAAAAATGGATAAAATATCGAGATTTTATCTTCGAACTTCGCAGACTCTATCCAGACCACTTTGTCAAGATGGTTGTTCTGATTATTGGAGTCCTTGGTGGAATGATGTCCTCTCTACTCTCGAATTTTAAAGCCATACCGGCTTGCCGCGCTAAGGCAGAAATCTTAGCCGCACAGATGCAGAAGGCTGTCATTCTTGGCTCACTTCATTTGCTCAGGGCACATGATTCTCGGACCCATTAATCACTTACCCCACGGTGTGGGGAGTGGTCATTGGTTGATAATGCTGGCGCGCCCTCCTGAATGTATCGGGGCTTCGGGGGATAGGGCCTGATCAGCGCCAGATAATAATAGTAATGATAACAATAATCAAGGGTTTTTTGAGTACCCCCGATTGAATCTATTAAAAAGCGGATGACTTGAGTGTTCAATAATTTGATAAAATTCTGAGACCGAAAGTCGAAGGATTTTATCCTCAAGCAAAATTTCGAGAATTCACGATTGCACACATTTCAATCGATTGAGATTGGTGAGATGTGTTTCAGAAAATGAAAAAAATAACATAAACTCGAGAAACTCAGTTTCAAAGTCCAAATTTTAGAATTCATTTGAAATATCACACAATAAGTAATTACTGAAAAGTATAATTGCATATCCAAAATACTTCATTAACAGTCCTTTACATGACAACCAATTTATGTTTGTTTCAATTGGTAAGGCAGGTCTAGGGCAGTCCTTCGCTGTAAAACTCTGTTAGAGCCTTCAATTTTTTCATCGTTTTTCTATGATGAGAAAANTGTAAAACTTTGTTAGAGCCTTCAATTTTTTCATCGTTTTTCTATGATGAGAAAAATAATTGTATTCATCAACGCATACATTATTATAACAATTTGAATAGTTTCAAAATGAAAAGGCCAACTATCATCTGCCTTTCAACTCGAACCGAAAAAAATTATTTCGGATCTGAATATTACTGGAGTTTTTTCCCAATACCAAAACCGTTATTTTAACACCTTTACACGTGTTTCGATTACTAAGTGATCATCTTCAAGAGCTGTTGGAAAAAAACTCCAGTAATATTCATTACAACACCAAAGGTTCCAAACAGTGCATCACAAGTATTTCGGATCTTCCTAAGATAGGGTTATCATCCCCTTTCAGACATGGCATTGAAATTTGTTTATTTACAATGTTCCAACAGGTTCAAATTGAGAAATGCGTTCGAAACATTTCAGTCCAATATATTCAAATGTGTCATAAATTTTTGTGTGATAATAAACATTGTAGATGGTTTTTAAAATTCGAGAAGATCTCTGTACACAACATTCCAAAGAAAATTTGACACCTATCTTTATCTCAAATCTTATCTTTAATTCCCCCAGCCGATTGCACTTAAATCTGATTGGCCAGAGTAAAGAGGCTAGTTTATTTTACACAATAGATTCAAATGTGTGTGGTGATCACGCATCTATCATTGTTTGGGCTACTTTGTATATGATTCTCAGTCAACAAAAAAAAACAATAGTCGTTTTATATTACCAAAGAAAAACCAAAGATATGAATATTTTCTTAGAGTATTAACAATTCTCAAACTTTCAGAGCTAACTTCAAAAAATTACAAAAAAATGGGTTTAGTTGCCTCCAATTTGATTCTTTGTTTTTAATATTGATGCAAACGTTTCAGGATTTTGGCACTCAGCCAATTGAAAAAGCATGATATTATCCCTCCCGAAAAAGCCATCTATGAGATCAACAGAAGTCTCAAATCACTAAAATCAATTATATATGAGGCTCCCTAAGCTTCAATTTAATGTAATATTATTCAAGGCTTCATACAACAATTACCGGTTCCATTCAATATTTTTTTGGAATTTCATTTAGTAGCTAAAAGATAGACAATACCCTTTCCATAAAGACAGCTCTGGTTCAAGTTTGATACTATAGAAAAGGTTTTGATCCATGTTTTCATTTCCCTTTTCGTTCGGATAGTGTAAGATATTATTAGTTTTTCAAATTTCTTCATTCTTTTTCGAATACAAAGATAGCTAAAAAACCTTTAAGAAAAAAAGTAAAGAAATATAAGCCACATTCATCTAGTTATAAATGCTTTTGTCAATGAGGACATATTTTTATCTTTATAACTTTCCGAAACAAACCGGATGTAACCGGATAAACAAGGTTTATTCGTAAATATTTATCCAATATAATTGTCAACAGTTTTATTTACTAAAAAAAATATTGATTTTCAATGCACAAATTGCGAATTAGTATTCCTGAGATTGAACGTATCTGTGCTGGTGAACGTGTTTCGATTAAGGTACATTCATAATTATCTGTAAAAAATGATTCGAATATTCCTGGAACAATTGTGTTCATTTATGGCAATACTTCCGCCAGAGTCAAATTTTCAACCATTCAAATACTGGTTTTAACAGTGATATAGAAATTCAATGATATTGATTTAAGACAATTACTTCTTGTGAGGATGTCCCATAAAAGTCAGAACACTAACTGGAAATCAAATTTGAAAATCAATAGTTTATGTCGGTGTAAGTTTCACGACAAGGGTATACACTTCAGTAAATATTCCTCTCTCTTTTCCTTCTGCTTTTATGATATCTCTCTTCACTCATCTCTCTTCTCTCTCTCTCTCTTTCTTGTTCTTCTCTCGCTGCTATTTCTTCACTCTCTATCTTTCTACTTTTTCTCCTCTCGCTCCTCTTTCTTTTCTTTTTCGTGTCTCTTCCCTTTTTCTTCCCTCTATCTTCTTTTTCATTCAAATTAGTGAGAACTTTCATTAAAATTCGTTATCATTAGAAATCGAATAGAAAAAGGGATATAGAAGATTTCTAGGTTAAATCTTATCTGTATTGAGATTCAGGCTGATTCCCCTAAATCCAAAGGCGAATTTCTTTCAATCACGTCAAAATGAATCAGAAATCACATGTCGTTGAGAATTACTCGTCTATGAAAGAAGTTCCACCTCGATTTATGTTTGTAAGTTAATGGCAGTGTTAATGTGTTTCTTCTCTCGTATTTCGCTTCTGATGTGAGCATGTGGCTTTTTAGATTGTTTTTTTAACTTTTCCTTTCGTTTTCCAAACGTGACATCTCCGGTGAAATCACACAGTATATATTTTTCTTTTTTTTTGGAGTTTAGAACAAGAAAATGCACATTGTAGTGAAGCTGTATTACTATGAAAAAAAAATCGTTTGAAAATTTGATTTGTATTGATAAACGTATTTCTGAATTTGAATACATTTCAAAAATCACAGAAAGTTTAAAGAAAGGTCTCACCTGTATGACCATATGGTTAACTCTCAAAAGCTCACTCTTACATGTACGGAAGCGCGGAAGGCAACATATTTTTTTTATTCGTTTCTTGGAAATTACGACTTAAAAACTCAAAATTTCGACTTCAATCTTGAACTTACGACTTTATCCTCGAAATTACCAGCTTAGAGTCGACATTTCCAGTTCAAAGTCGTAATTTCGAGTAAAAAATTCGTGATTTCGAGTTGAAAGTTGGAAATTTCGAGTTTAAAATTATAATTTGGAGTAGAAAAGTCGTAATTTCAAATTTAAAGTTGGAATTTCGAGATGAGAGTCGAAATTTTGACTTTAAAAGTCGTAATTTCGATTTTAAAATCAAAGTTTGGAAATTAAAGTAGAAATTTAGAGTTTAATTGTAATTTCGAAATGAAAGTTGAAATTTCGAGATTAAAGTAGAAATTTCGTGATTTGAAGTCGTAATTATGAGTTAAAAAGTCGTAAATTCCAGGTTGAAGTCGAAATTTCGAGTTTGAAGTCGTTATTCCAATTTTAAAGTCGAAATTTCAAATTTTAGGTCAAAATTTCGAGATTATAGTAGAAATTTCGTGTTGTAAGTCATAATTTCATGTTGAAAAGTCGTAATTCCGAGTTTAAAGTTGAAATTACGACTTCAAACTCAAAATTTATATTTTGATTTCGAACTTTCGACTTTCATTTGGAAATTACGACTATAAACTATAAATTTCGACTTAAATCTCGGAATTTCGAGTTTTATCTCAAAAGTTCGACTTTTATTTTGAAATTACGAATTCAAAATCGAAATTTAGACTTTAAAAATCAAAATGTCGACTTTTAAACTCAAAATTTCGACTCTGATTTCGAAATTTCTACCGTAATCTTGAAATTCCTACTTTAAACTCGAAATAACGACTTTTCAACTCGAAATTACCACTTTATACTCAAAAAGTATACTTTGATTTCTTTCGTAATTTCAAGTTTCATTTCGAAATTTCAAGTTTGTAGTCGTACTTTCGAAATGAAAGTCAAAATTTCGAGTTTAAAGTCGAAATTTCGAGATAAGAGTCGAAATTTTGAGTTTAAAAAGTAGCCATTTTGATTTAAAATTGTAGATCGAAGTGAAACTTGTAGATCGAAGTGAAAATTTCGAGTTTAAAATCGAAATTGCAAGTTTAAAGTCGTAATTTCGAAATTAAAGTTTGAAAGTCGAGAGTAAAGTCGAAATTTCGAGATTAATGACAACATTTCGAGATTAAACTCACGGCACACCTGATAATTTATTTTTTGATGAATACGCAAGTGCTAAAGTGACATTTTTATATAAGTGACAATTTAAACTGTCAATTATCCGATTATATGTAATTGATAATTTCAATTGTCGAAAATGAAAAATACTTTGTGACAGTCTTCATAGAAAAATGCTAGGAACCGTACTTTTCTTGACGTCTTAACGGAGTCAAAATTGCCAACTAAAATTTAAAATTTGTGTTGATTCATACATCACTTTGAAAGTTGATAATCTTCTAATATCGAGTAGCATTATAAATTGTCGAAATCCAAGAAATCGTATTAATTGGTAGTTTTTTTTGCCATACAACACGTATATAGCAGGTCGTCAACAAATAATGAAGATGTTTTCTTTTCCTCGCAGAAAAAAAAATTTAAAGTCCATTAGGAATATCTTGATATCGTATATGTTGGTGAATCAATAGTAATATAATAATAATAATGTTTACTTTAGGAAATAAAATACTCACCAACGCAAGAACAAGTACAACCATCGAGAGGTATTTTCTAATATTTCATTTGCCTCTCGACACGAAAAACCATTGACGTAAATCAACGGGTCTCAGCTTTTTTTTCAATCGACAAATATCAGGGTTTGATTCGTTTTTATCAGCCGACTCTTTATACAGTTCTGAAAAAAGACTCGACTTGTTTGCTCATTTTTCTGTTACTCAATACATGAAATTGAAACAACTTTTCTGTCACAATTATTGAACATTCGAAACTATATCTGTTCTGTGCCTGAAAAGGATTTTTAATAGCATTTTCTTGTTCGAAAACCAGACCCAATGTTTTCGTCGATTTTTTGAGGTTAGTGTTCGCATGTGGCTCAGTGTTGTTTTGCATGTAGATGTGGGTGACGGACAACAGTCCAAGGACGGTGGAAGGAGTGGCGTTAGTCCAGCGACGCGAGCGATGCGTCGAGGAAACCGACGTCTTACGCGAAATGAGAGCAGGTACCATTCAGGTGAGAAAACAAACGAAAGTACAGACCTAGCATTCATTTTACTTGCCTGAAAATGATAAAACGTTTCACTCAGATCAATATTTACTTACTACAAAATGAATATTTTGAATTGAAATTCCCACCAAAGTTCCAATACCTGCAGAAAATATTACATCCCTGGTTATTACCAAGACGAACATTTCTCACGAAGGAAGCTCTTACATATGCCTATTGTTCGTCCAGCAGTAGAACCTTGCTGAAATCATCGAGTGATCAGCACCTACAGACCGGTTTCGGACTATTACTACTTGTCGGTGCGGGACAGTTAACCAAAACAGCAGAGCTGTCTGATATTCAGACTTTCTTCTAGGACAGGTTCTGTTTTAACTGCAGTAAAGTACTTCCATCTTGTGAACAAAACCTTAAGCAGGGAAGAACAATCCCGTTTACCAAAACTATGTTTCTTCATTTCTTGTATTAGAAGTTTGGGATGAAGGAGTGGAATTATTAAAAAATGTTTCAAACAAAAGTTTCAGATATTAATGTAATGAGCTTTTTAGAAATACTCTCCAATATGCAGGGTATGCAAAGTTAGGTTTTTGAAATGAAATGACATTGCTTTTAATACAAGGTGTTTTCTAACTACAGTACGAAACTTCAAAGGGTGATTCGTTAGATTATTTTAATAAAAAAATCTCATGAACGTATCTCCGGAGTTGCTTCGTTTCTAAGATACAGGGCGTGTAAGTTAAAAATCGGTATTCATGAAATATTCTTTCACCGTTTTGGTTGAAATTTGCTACAGTTATTTGAAATAAGGCACTTATTTTTAACCGTAACTAGATTGAAATTATTGGGTCCAATGGAGTCTCAGTGGGCATTACAGCCAACAATATTGGGAAAATAAGTAAGTCACTGACTTGTTATAGTTTTTTTTATTTTTTCAGATTGATCAATTAAAAATACAACTGTTACGTCACTTTGGTGTTCTTCATATCTAGATTCGTTTTTGACAAAAAAAAATTGAAGCTTCTTTGCATATCATGAACACCTGCTTGCCATATGTGTTGCCATATCAGTGAAAGTCAGAGCTGTCAATTAACAGTGATTCCATAATGAATAATTTTACTAACGCTGATATGACTGACATACACCAGGACACATATCGTAACAGAATAATTCTATGTGCTAAAAAAACACTACATACAAGATATGGCCAGCTTGCAGTCCTCTAGATTTCTATTCATAGGGTCGTCTGAAGGCTCTTGTTTATGAAAATCTCGTACTAGATGTGAATGACTTACGGAATCGAATAATTGACAATTGCAATGTCATAAGGAATACTCCAGGTATTTTTGAACGTGTTCTCGATCTGGATAACGTATAACTCTATTATTGAACACAATAAAAAATATGATAGAATTGACCAATACTTGATAAAAAGTCATTGTAACATATTCAAAAAATACTCCAATGTGAGATTTTCACTTGAAAGATTACAAAACCGCGACACGTGTTTTGATTTACAATGGGCGTCACAATATTGTTTGAACAAATTCTATGCAATATTCTATTCTATTCTATTAACAATATTGCTCAATTTTGAAAAAACGAAGAATTGGGCGTAGCTTACAGAACAAATTATAATTTGAGTAATTCATTGAAAACAATAATTATTAAACTCCAGTGTCTGATAGATCGAGAGTATACAAGTTAACTAATGGTTCTCATCCAAAATTTTATATCGGACAAACCGGATTTTTTTTCAAAAGAATAAAAGAGAATAGTAGTTTTCAATTTCAGAAGACCAATTCAATATTTCCGAACCATCTTTCGACAGAGGGGCATCAGTTGAATTCAAATTATGACGTATTTCATATGGTAGAGAAGGTTCAGAATGTTTAGAAATCATTAGATGTAAAAATTTTGGATTATTTCTCAATGATTAAATATATTTGAATTGTTCCACTTTATTTAATTTAGTTCGCAATGATCTTAAAACTAGGTAAAATGATGGCTCAGGTAAAAATTGTATTCATTATTCTTCAGTTTTATGAGTTGCTCCTAGAAAGGTCAATAGTTCAGGTAATGAATTTACAAGGTAGTAGTAGTCATAATGATTCAAATTACTATAAAAGTTGTGAAACACGTGTCACAGTTTTATAAACTTTCAACTGTAAATCTCACAATAGCGTTTTTTTTTGAGTACGAACACAATAAAATCATAAAAATAATTGTAGTTTCTCATTGCCAAAAAATTTCGGGCCCACATTTTTTATAAAATTACAACGCGAAATAATATAACGTTTCCTTGAAACAAAAAAAGATGAGAAAAGGAACAACAGGCAGATGATCATTGAATCCCCTATATAGTATCTCACGTTTCAACAACGAAAAAACGTAATTTCTCACAAATTTTTTTATTCTTGCGAAATGTGTTTTGTGTGTTTTTAATGTTACAACTCACTTGGACCGCTTCGTTTATACTCATGCAGATTCATATTTCACAAAGAGCTTTTCAGTTTGGAATTGAATACGAAATAAAAATGTGTTTCATTTGAAAAAATCAAGAAAAAATTGTTACCCAGTTATGATTTACTTGGTGAACTTTCAAATGAGTTTGGGAGCTTTTGTTCACAAGATCGATTTCTTTCTGGCTACATTCAAGTTGTTATTGTTTCAAGTGGAATTTTTATGAACTTCATCATTGAATGAAATCGATGCACGAGAATAGACTGGTGTCTCATTGGTTATTTTATAAACAAAAATCATGGTAGAGTATTGCAACCTCGTTTTCACTGACAACTATTGTAGTGTAGATAACTTCGTGGTAATTGTTGTTTATCTATATTATCTTTCAGTATAACCCTAACTCCACGATTTTGTAGTTTTTGCAATTGAGACATCTTACAGAACGCTGTAGGTGATCACTGGATTAATTTTAATGAGGACCTACTACCGGACGAATTCGCTCTATGAGAAAATTTGCAGGAATGCCTTCTGGACATAATCCAATACCCATCGTAGAATTAGCCAGAGAAGTAGTTGTTTTCCGTCAGTTATGTGTCGGATCCTTCTATGTAGGAACATTGGGAAGCAGAATATTCTGAGTTTCAATTCGAAAAATTCATTTTCTCAATACGTATCTATTTCTCCACCAACTGATTTGATTTGAGTTGTTTAAAATTTCAGACTTCAAAAAATTTGTGGTTTTGCAGAAAAATTCAAGGGTAACAAGATGGCAGGATTCTTTTGTAAATAATGATTACCAATCAAGTAGTTCAAAATAACTTTTCCAAGTACTGAATTTACTTACAAAACTACTAACCTTTAAAGGTTGTGCCAAAAGTTTCATAAGACCTCAACTCGAGTATTTCATTTCAAGGCAAGAGCTGGATAACTAGACCTGAACTTTCAGAATATTCATGCAGCTATAGCTTTCATAATCATCCTCACTTCATATTCATTATATTTTATTTGATAATGTTTTCATGGGCAGCTGTTTCTGGAGAATAATCAGTGTGTAGTTATCGTCAAGTCTATCTAAAATATTTGCAGAATGTTACTGTTTTTGAAATAATGATAAATGCTATATAAGATTTTCATATCACTATACCTGACATCTTGGTTGTGAGATAAATGTGCCTGAAGATGTTTTCATAATATTGTTTCCAACAAATGTTTGACGTGATTTTTTAAAATGATAAAACGTTCTTATTTATACTAAATGGTAATGAATCTGGTACTAAATGTTATCACAACACATTGGTGAAACCTGTCCTAAAATCGGATGACCTGTTTTTGAAATGAGCGCGCATAAACGCAGGGACAAGTATTCTTGAACTCATTGTTTTTGGTTCTATTACGTTAATAAAAGTGTTTTTCAAATATCTTCCATTTACAAACAGCGATTAACACCTGGGCTGAAGAGTCCCCTAAGAAAAAAAAAACTAGTGTTTTTTATTCAAAATTGGCTTTATTCATCAACGTATTCTCCATCAAAAGCGACACAATCATTCCAGTTCCGCTCTAACATTTCAATGCCACTTTTGTCTCAAAATAAGCTTTAGTTTCAGCAGTAACCTTTTCATTCGAGCGAAATTTTTTGAGGTCTGCGAACAGCCAGTAGTCGCTGGGAGCTAAATCTGGCGAATATGGTACCTATATGCAGGAGCAATTCGAAACCCATTTCATGAAATTTTGCCATCGTTTTCATTGATTTATGACACAGTGCATTGTTTTGATGAAGCATCACTTTCTTTTTCTTCAAATGGGGTGGTTTTTCAGCAATTTCGGCCTTCAAACGCTCCAATAACGCTATGTGATATTCACTGTTGATGGTATATCCCTTCTCAAGATAGTCGACACCACGCACATCCCAAAATACCGAGGCCATAACCTTTACCAATTGCAGGTGACGATCGTTTTCATTCCGGAGTGAAGTGATGGAACCATGTTTCATCTATTGTTACATATTGAAGCAAAAAATCCAGTTTAAACATGGCCAAACACTGCTCAGAATCATCAAGACGTTCTTGTTTTTGGTCAACAGTGAGCTCGCACGGCACCCACTTTGGACAGAGCTTTCTCATAGTTGGCTGTTTCAAGCCAACACGTTCTTTTGATATCTATACAATCAGCGACGGCTCGTCAGAGGAGGCAAGTAAGGCTTAGCCTCCCAATGAAATTTGAGGCTATTCATCGCAATAAATTAAAAGATATTGACAAATAATTATGATTATTTTTTTTTCTAAAAATGCTCCAGTTGGTCTCCGTTAGTGTACGACTGCGTTTGTTTTTTATTTAATTATTCGGACGGGATACCGTGACGGACCGGGACTAAAAAATATTCCGGTGAATCGTTTAAGTGTTTCTTGATAATATTTATTATTTGTGTATGAAACAGGCAATATTATATTATAGCAGTGCTTTTTTGTAATATTTTTAATGTATTTTTAAAGTGTTTTCTTTCAATTTCAAGGTGTTTTCAGGTTTTCACTTTTCGATAAGTTTTTTTTTCA